TTTAAGGAGTAGCTTCCAGAGACTCAACCGATCCCAGAAGCCCTGCAATTTGGGAGACCAAGGAACCTTGGCAGATGAGGTAGTGCGACAATTGTCTTCAGCATGCCGCCGTACCATATACATCTGCTGGTGAAGGCAGTTATATTTGCGTGCAAGCGAGGATGACATCTGTCATCCATTGGATTCAATGCGCTGATTGAGCTTGGTAAGACGGGACGGGATGTCATGCTCCTCGTAACCCAAGTGGGCCAGTTGAAGATAGCGTCTAACCGACCGCTTATCCAACAGAGTGAGTTTGCGAGGTTTAAAGGTAGACCCCTGGGGTGTGAAATTACCCAAAGCCGTGTTCAAGTCGATATCGATCCATAGTGCACTGTGGTCTGCTTCAACAAATTCACCAAATGCGTAGTAGCCACCAGCCAGAACCGGAACACCTGAAGTGGTAAAGATTCCATCGATGGGAACGTTGCTTTGATTTCGTTGGTGGGTAGCCGTGGGGGGATGCCGTTTCAAAATCGCTTCCTCCATTCCACACTCACCAAACCGCTGTCGTATGGAGTCCGGGGAGTTGACCGAAAGATCTTCGTTAGCATCGATCCCCAGCAAAACTTCACAACCCTCGTCCCTCCATTTTTGAATTTGCTTGCACAGGTCATCGACCAATGCTTTGCGCGGATCAATCTTACGTTTTAAAGAGTTAAAGTATAGACGTTGTTGGGCCCACACGGTCGATTCCCCTGTACCTTCTCTGTTTGGCCTATATGCCGAGACAACCACTAGATCACGTGAAATCGGGCGTCGGACCGCCTCGTTTACGTCTAGCACCAAGCCGGAGTGATCATCAGCAATAACAAAAGCAAGTCGAAAACTTTCCCTTGTCACAACACTTGCATAGGTGACAGACATTGGAGGATCCGTTTGGTCCCCTCTAGCACATATTTGTGCCTTCCATGTGAGGTCCATCTCAGTCATAATCTCAATGAGCTGGTATCCGACAGGAACATCTTCATCTTCTTCCAGAATCTTCAGAGCTGGTAGGATTGTTTTGACCTCTTTGATCAAGGCATCATTCCAATGTGAGGTACCATTCTGAGCATCAAGTTCATACGCACGTGCAACGCCTTTCGGCCCAGGACCAGGCACTTCAATACCAAACTTTTCTGGCTTCTGTCTTTTCACAGCACGGCGCTTAACAGCTTTCAAAACTCGATCACGCTTTCTCAAAGTGTAGGGAACCCACCACGCAAAGGCAGGCTCTGACACAAGCTTGTTTGCAACAGCATATTCGGCGACCTTGATAGGAAACGCTTCTTTTGCTACTGATAGGTCAAGCCATTTGGTTTCTCCACCTTTCATTTCAGCTAATAATTTCCATCCTTTGGTTGTCTTTCGTGGACGCTTGAGACCGCTAGAGGTAGTATACCATCCATTGTCCCCTCTAACTGCTCGTCCGTCACGTTGATGATCAATAAATTTGCGAAACCGGTACATCGTGTTACCTTCATCATCAACATTCATCATTATCCCTTCGATAATCTGATTTGCATAGAAACTTTCCACTTTTCCATCCTCAAACTCCACTTGATAGATAGATGTGTCAAGGTGTGGATTCTCGTGGTAGTGACCAATCAATTTTCCAGATGAGTCACGTTTCCGACCTTGAACAACTCCAAAAGTCTCAACTCCATCTGCATTAAACGATACTTTTGCAGAGACATATTTGTCGAACTCAACAGGATCTGATTCTTGATCTGGCGGCTCTTCAAAATCACCTTCAATCTTGTGACGAGGATCTTCTTGTGGGTGATCTTCATATTGTGCATACTGCAGGTAACCACCGTCTTCGATTGCAGAGATCGGCATGTTGTATTTATGCCAAATGCGATCAAGTTCTTCTTCAGAGATAGAAACTCCATCAGCCTTCTTCTTCAGATTCTTCTTCAGGTCTTCCATAAACTCTTTCTTTTTCTCTTCCATTGGTTCACTGTTTTGCTCTTCGGCTGACAAAGGAATCACTGACAATCGTTGTAGTACTTGTCCATTGGCAATAGCAACAGCAAAACAAAGAGCTGCTCCAATAGTAAAACTTGGACCAAGCCACCGACATAGTTGTTTCCCATCCTTAGATGAGCGATTAGGTGAAAGGCACCAACACTAATCCCAAATAGCAAAATCAACCAGGTGAGAGATATCTTTAGTGTTGCCAGAAACAATTGTGGCTCCACATTCTCCTTCTTGTATTGCAAGTCCCAGTGCCATGTGACTGCGAATCTCAAAAGCATA